GTAAGTAGTACAAACTACAAAGCAAGAAAAAAGCTCTAATGCATAAACGAATGGTTTAGACTTATGAATATCTTTATCTCACAAAAAAAAAATTAAAAAAATATAAATAATAATAATAATAATAATAATAATAATAATAATAATAATAATAATAATAATGTTGGACTGTGTTGAGTCTGTTTAATGGAACAGTGGAGTCTGACATTTTGAGTAATCCTAGTGAGGTCGCTGCCCCTAAACTCATGAAGAAATTGGCAGATATATATTTCACAAAGGTTACCGCTTCTGCAGAATCTGCTTATTCTTTAACTCCTCGACAATCAACATTATGGAAATCACAGCAGGGTGATCACACCTCTGCTTGGCTTCGGGCGGTTCCTATTTCAGGGTTGGGTCAGACGATGAACGCCAAGACTTATCGCTGTGTGTTGTCCTATCGGTTGGGTGTTCCATTGTTCTCTATCTCGACGTTGTGCTCTGCTTGTTCAAGGGTTTTTGTTGGAGATATTTTCGGTGATCACGCGGTGTCTTGTGCTGGTATTGTGGGTATTAAACATCGGCATAATGTTGTTCGGGATACCCTTGTTGATGTTTGCTATCGTTCTGGGATTTCAGCGAGAAAAGAGGTTGACATTGGGTTGGCCGGAGGGAACGACGAGGCCCTCAGACCCGCGGATGTGTTACTTTATTCATGGGATCGTGGTCGCGATGTCTGTGTTGATTTGACAGGGTCTTCTCCTTTGACACAGTCAGGGCTATCTGACTTCATTCCTGGGCGGGTTGTGGCTGATGCAGCTCATTGGAAGCGGGTTAAGTATGAAGCTCGATGTCAGGCGATTGGATATGGTTTCATTCCCTTCTCCTTTTCTTCGCTTGGGGAATTAGAGAAAGAGGTTGTTGCGTTACTGAAGCGGATTCAGAGGTTCTCGACGACGCAAGACATTGGGGCTCGTGCTGCAGCTCATATCTTCACTAGGGTAGGATTTGCAATAGTTAGAGGAGTGGGGGCCCAGATTGTATCTCGGCTTCCCACTAATTTATTGTAGGTTGTATGACTTTTGTTTTTGAGATAATAATAATAATAATAATAATAATAATAATAATAATGAATATCAAAAATAATAATAATAATAATAATAATGAATATCTATGCTATTTCTTACAGCTATATGTTAAATCATTATTAATAAGTCGTGCAATTTAATTGAGTTCATTGTCTTTATTTACGCCGGGTTAAAGAAAAAATCTTTAGTTTTTGTTTTGTTTTTTTTTTTAAAAAAATAAAATATTGAATCTTATTGTTTTAGGTATTCAAAAATGTGATATTTTAAACTAGAGTGATTTATAAGCAAATGACCGGTGAGGTTTGACCCCATTTACAATAATCTTTAGTAGGGGAGGGGGGGGGGGGGGGGGGGGGAGAGGCTTAATCACCTTGTTAAAAGTCTGAAAATTTGTTTATACTTTTCATAGTATGTGATTCCTTCTCGGATGTACTGATATAATCATTATAAATAGAAGATGCTAGACATTTACGTAAGTATGCACAACATAGCAAAAACTAACCAACTTCTTTTACAATATTTTTTTTAATACTTCTTTTGGAGGAGAACAAATCATGGATAACACAAGCCTAGCAATTATACTTGCAATTTGGTTCATTGCTTTTCATTTCATTAAAATATTATTTACTAGCCAAACTTACAAACTTCTTCCTCCAGGTCCTAAACCACTTCCAATTATCGGCAACATTCTTGAAGTTGATGACAAACCTCACTAGTCATTTGCTAATCTCGCCAAGATTCATGGCCCTCTAATATCCCTACATCTAGGCAGTGTCACAACTATTGTTGTATCATCAGCTGAAGTAGCCAAAGAAATGTTCTTAAAAAAAGACTACCCTCTTTCTAACCGTACTGTTCCTAATTCTGTTACTGTTGGTGACCACCACAAACGTGGTTGCTTGTCTCCCCAAAGTGGAGGAATTTTAGAAAGATCACGGCCGTTCATTTACTTTCTCCTCAAAGACTTGATAGTTGCCAAAGCCTTAGGCATGCCAAGGTACAACAACTTTTTCAATATGTACAAGAATGTGCACAAAAAGGGCAAGCCGTTGATATTGGCAAGGCTGCATTTACTACATCCCTCAATTTGTTATCAAAACTATTCTTTTTGGTCGAATTAGCCCATCATAAATCCCATACATCTCAACAATTCAAAGAACTTATATGGAATATTATGGAAGATATTGGCAAGCCTAACTATGCTGATTACTTTCCAATCTTAGGATGTGTCGATCCTTCGGGTATTCGACGGCGATTAGCGTCTAGTTTTGACAAGCTAATTGCTGTTTTTCAAAGTATAATCACTCAAAGGCTTGGTAGTACAACAACAAAGACAAATGATGTGCTTGACGCTCTTCTCAACCTCTACAAACAGAAGGAGCTTAGCATGGGCGAGATTAACCATCTTCTAGTCGTAAGTTCATTTTATTTGTCCATCAATTACCGTGCAATATGAAATTTTTTTTTTTTATTTATGTAGATAGAATATCATATTAGTTCTTAGATTCACACCAAAGATTTAAAAAAAATAAGCTAATTATCAAGCTAGCATTAACTAATTCGTAATGTTTTTTACTCTAGCAATAATGAGCTTGTGCATGCAATGACATGACGTGATTTTTCAAGAAACACAATTTACATGATAACGATTCATTGATGGGATATGTAACAAATACATAAACCACATTTATTTGGACCTCATTAAACTCTCATCGGGCCCATCCATACCTGGTGCGAATTAATTCCACTTTGAAGGAGGGGCGGATGAGATTCGAACCTGTGACCTTTGTGTCACGTTGTTGGCTCCGATACCATGTTAAAGGACCAACTCAACCAAAAGCTTAAACTGATGGTTGATGTCCAATCAGTTTTTAATTAAAGTATACTTGTTAGTTGTTATAACTCTTTCCATCTAATTGTCTTACACTCTTACTATACTACAATGATTTGCAACAAATATAGGAAATAGTAAATAAATAAAATATATATATATATATATTAGGACCGAGCAAAACTACCCGAAAACCGAAAACCCAAAAACCGAAAACTCGAAAACCCGTTCAGTTACCGTTCCAAAAATTAGGGTACCCGAACCGATAACCATAACGGTTCGGGTACCCGTTCCGATAATTTGTTATCGGATATGGTTTTTGGGTATCATTTTAAAATTAACGGGTACCCGTTCCGTTCCGATAAGCAATTATTTTGTTTTTTTTCCTACTTAAATCTATCTTTTCAATATTTAAACTCTTACATTACTTCATAATCACTATAAATATCAATAATTAGTAATGTTATTAATAATTTGGTCAAGATCATGTGGTATTGTTGTTAATTAGTGTTAAAAAAATATCATAATAACTAATTTTTTAAGTTTAATTATTACTATTGGATACTTTATAGGGTACCCGATAACCGTTCCGAAAATTCGGGTACCCGAAGTCCGGGTACCCGAACTTATCGGTTCGGGTTATGGATATCACTTTTAGTGATATTGGTTATCGGGTACCCGAACCGTTAGTACTAACGGTACGGGTACCCGTCTCATGCTCACCCCTAATATATATTATACAATTGAAAGAGTAATATTTTGATGTATTTGAATGAAAAAAGCGAAATAGTAAGAGAGAATAGAGCGCAATCGGTGCATGCAGTGGCGGAGCCAGGATTTTCAACTTGGGGGGACAAAATGCTTAACTTACGAAAAGCTTAACAAAAATAAAAAACAAAAAAAAACTCACACACAAATTGGTTAATACTTAATATTAAAATTTCAAAATACAAATATATACTTAGTCATACAATTCAAAATGATGAAAAAAATTACATAAACATTACATTAAAATTACAAGTTCATTCTTCGAGTCTTCATACTTTGAAATCGATCAATAATATTTTCGTCGGAAACTCGTAAGAAGACATCCTTCTCAATAAAAGTGACCAAACAATCATTCATAAGTTGATCACCCATGCTATTTCGCAACTTGTTTTTGACACATGTCATTGCAGAAAACACTCTTTCAACACTTGCCGTGGCAACGGGAAGAATCAACATCAACTTGATAAGCAAATGAATAAGAGGAAAAGTCTTATGCTTATTGGTTTTAACAAGCATCATAGAAAGAGAATTAAGGTCATTTAAACCTTGAAATCTTTCATCATTTAGCATATTCTCCATGAATACATCAAGTTGATATTCAAGAGCCATCAAATCAAAGCTTGAAAATTCTTCGGGATAAAAAGAGGCAAGTTTAAGTACCTTATCTTTATCAAAGGATGAGAAGTTATCTTTAGGACTTAAACAAGCCATACATAATAGTAACTCCATATTCCTCTCATTAAATCGTTCATCAAGTTCTTGAAGATGCAAATCAATTAGTCTTAAGAAAATTCCAACCCGAAAATGATGTTCATTTGTTGCTTCTTCAACAAAACGTCTTGATCTTCCATGAGGAACATAAAGAGAATCCATAGTGGGAATAACAACACCATGTTTAGTGCAAAATGAAGTTACCTTGTTTAAGAGAGTATCCCATCCTCGCTCCCTCATTTTTTGCAACACCGTTTTTGTATTAGTGACAAGTTCCATGACATTTACAATATCTTGCTCCTTTCTTTGCAAAGCAACACACAAATCATTAGTGTATCCAAAAATAGTCAACATCAAGTGAGCAACAAAAATAAAGTCAAATGACTCTAATTGTCCTAAAACAATTTGAGCTTTGAACTTATCTTCCGATGCACCATGCTTCCCAATTTGTACAAGCACCTTAATAATTGTAGGAAATAAGAGGATGGCATTTAAAAGTGACTTGTAATGAGAACTCCAACGAGTATCCCCGGGCCTACTCAAACCAAGTTCTTGATTTAAACCCGATCCACTCACAATATCCCCAACATCCAAGGCTCGAGCAACTTCTTGAGCTTGATCTTGACGAATCATTTATCTTCTCTTGCAAGAAACTCCAACCACATTCAACAAATTTCCAAGTATCTCGAAAAGCCAACCACAACTATCATTCTTTTTAGCAACGGCAACTAATGTTAGTTGAAGTTGATGAGCAAAACAATGTATATAGTAGGCACTTGGAGTATCATTCATAATCAAAGTCTTAAGGCCATTTATTTCACCCTTCATGTTGCTAGCTCCATCATACCCTTGCCCTCTTATCATAGATGGGCTCAATGAATGTTCAACAAGTAAAGACATGATTGCATCTTTAAGAGTTAAAGCGGTAGTATTAGCAACATGAACAATGCCTAAAAATCGCTCCATTACCTTTCCACTATCTCTATCAACAAAACGCAAAACAAGAGCTAGTTGTTCTTTTTGGGACACATCACTTGACTCATCGGCCAATATAGCAAAGTAATCATCACCAACTTCTTCTATTATGCACCTAGTTGTTTCTTTGGCACAACAGTTAATAATGTCCTTTTGCATAGGAGGGGAAGTCATTTGACAATTTTTAGGTGCATTTTCAAGAGTATGTATCCTTACTTCCTCAACCTTTTCTCCTAACCACTTCAAAAGCTCAAGGAAATTACCCCTATTATATGACTCCCCACTTTCATCATGTCCACGAAATGCCAAACCTTGCCCCAAAAGAAATCTTAAACAAGATAAAGATGCTTTCAAGCGGATAAAATATTCACTTTTAATCACATCACTTGCATTGTCAATCACATTCAAGATTGATTTCTTTTTTTCATCTCTTAAATTCACATATTTCTCATAAGCAAGATTATGAGCACTTTTAATTCCACCAACATGCTTCTCAAATCTTTCCGGTTTATTCCATGCCCTAAACCCTCCATCAACAAATGCATCACCCCCCGGTTTAATACCAACTTCATTCTTGAACAAGTAACATACAAAACAAAATGCAGCATCTTTTTCAATACTATATTCAAGCCAATCCCATTTGTTGAACCAATGAACACTAAAGCGACGCAAACCAGACACTTGTCTTGTAGGGAAGTCATGAGTTTTTGGTTGGCAAGGTTTTTTAAGAATATAACCCCTCCTAACAGCATTTCGTTCATTTGCGAGGTAATCCATAATGTTTATTCTTTTTCCCGGATCATGAGGAAGAAGTTCAACATCATACACCAAATCTTCCTCTAATGGTACATTACTATTACTTGAACCACCCATTTCCATACTATTTTCTTGACTTTGAGGGGAGCTAACTGAAGGTGAGTTATTGGACTCATTTTCATTGAGTCTCGTTCTTTTAAACAAGAATTGTTGAAGATCGGGTTGTTTAGTTGCCTTGGATTTGTTTGAATTTGGTGAATCTTTTGATATTTCCTAGTTAAATTGAAAATTATATATCAATTTCCACAAGACCACAATTCACATCATTACATAATAACAAAACCTAAGATTTTAAATTTCTAATTCAACTACACATTTCAATAATTTACAATAATTAATAATTTAAATTCACATTTCACAAAAACAGCCAAACACTCAAACAGGGGAAACATTCAAACAATCAAACAAATATAAATCAATAATCAATACCCACAAGGCCACAAATGACAAATTCACAATAAAAATATAAATTATAAAACAATTAAACATTTAAACAAGTAATGAAATTCACTTAATTCAGATTTACATAATTACATAATCAATTAATCATACCTCCATTGAAATTCAGATTTACTCCTTACAGTAAATCTGTAAATGCGAAGTTGCCGACTTGCGAACTGCTGCTGCAAACACTTTACACTTGAACACCAAACGTCCAAACTGCTGGCTGTGCTGCGGTGGCGCGGTGCTGGGCTGCTGGCCTGCTGGGCTGCTGCTGCAAACAGCAAACACGAACTCACGAAGACACGATTCACACGAATTGAAGGCTGTCCGCTGTCCGCTGTGCGCTGTCGTCTGTCGAACCTCGTCATTGGCCTCACTGCTGCGAACTGCCGGAGAACGGTGGACAGCGTCAGGCGACTCTGGCGAGGTGAGGGCGAATCGAAGAGAGAGAAATTAAAAATTGAAAGACTTAGGGTTTGGCTGCAAATGTCGCACAGAGCACTCTGTAATTGCGTTTTTTTGTTTTTTTTTTTAAATTTTTTTTTAATTTTTTTTTTTGAAAATGGGGGGACAAGTGTCCCCACTCGTCCCCTTCTAGCTCCGCCCCTGGGTGCATGCACAATAAAACAAGAAAATTCCGTTAAGAACAATCAAATGATAGATTGATTGATAAGAACATTATTTTATAAGATAAAGAAAGTATACATTGTTTAATAGATAGTACAAAATAGAAAAATACATTCTAGCTAAAAGTGGCAAATACAAATATAATAACTTACAAAAGCGATGTCTGTGATTGGGAGAGTGTTAGACCTCACATTTTCTACAATAGGTCAAGGGTGCAAATGATTAGACCCTACAAATATCTACAAAAAATTAATTAAAGAAAATCCATTGATTAGGTTATATTGTATTCTATAATAATTGGTAAAATAAGTTATAAAGCTGTTAAATTAACTGCCAACTTGTTTCATCAAAATAAGTATAATTTATGAATTGCAGGACATATTTGATGCCGGGACTGACACTACATCAAGTACTTTTGAATGGGCAATGGCAGAGTTAATACGGAATTCTAAAATGATGGACAAAGCTCAAAAAGAAATAGAGCAAGTCTTGGGCAAGGATAGACAAATTCAAGAATCAGACATTATTAAGTTACCTTACTTACAGGCAATTATCAAAGAAACATTACGACTACACCCACCAACTGTATTTCTCTTGCCTCGTAAAGCTAATTGTGATGTTGAACTATTTGGTTATGTTGTGCCAAAGAATGCACAAATACTTGTTAATTTATGGGCTATCGGAAGAGATCCTCAAGCATGGGAGAACCCTGACGTATTTTCACCAGAGAGGTTTATGGGTTCCGAGATTGATGTTAAAGGAAGAGATTTCGGTCTGATACCTTTTGGAGCTGGAAGGAGGATATGCCCCGGAATGAATCTGGCTATTAGAATGTTAACTTTGATGTTAGCGACTCTACTTCAATTTTTCAATTGGAAGCTTGAAGAAGGTGTGGATCCAAAAGATTTGGACATGGACGAGAAATTTGGGATTGCTTTACAAAAGACTAAGCCTCTTCAAATCATTCCGGTCCTTAAGTATTGATTATCATATCTTGTCTTAATTATGTACTAGATGTAAGCCCGTGCGATGCACGGTTCTAGTAATTATTTTATTTAATTTAAAATTGTGTATATTTATGAAGATCATTCATTAGTTATATAGATAAAATTCTTAATATCCTAAAGTTATCTTTTGTTGTTTTATTTATTTTATGTGACACACTGACGCTTGAATTTAAAATGCCAAACCTTATTCACTAATTTTGCTTATGTGACAATTTAAATTTTTAATTCAAAACTGAAATGACAAATATCGTTTTTTAATAAATCAAAATAAGTCTTTTGCCTATGCGTTTATTTAATATACTCGTTCTGTTTAAAATGTTAGTCTCATTTATAATCGTTTAACTATAAAATATTATGGGAAATTAGTCATATGAGATTTAGTTTTATTCGACTCGATGAGTACATTATTAAAATCAGACTTTTACAACATTTTCTAGGGAGAGATTAAAGATATTTGAGATTAAAAATTTGCATCCATATATGTAAAAAAGATAATTATTACTTAATTTTTTTATTGTTTTTTTAGAGAAGATAACTATTGGTTTTTAAAAGTAATTTAAATTTTAATTATTCACTATTCGTTGTTTTTACCCATGTGTCAAAATTCTTAAATTTTATTCGTCACTTTTGCTTAGGTGGCGAGTAAATTTTTTAATTCTAAAATAAATTATTAATCTAATTTTTCATTGGACAAAATAATACCTTTTCTTATGTGGCGCGTCAAATGCTCCCGAAAAATGCCTACTTTATTTATATATATTCGATTAGTCACCTCATGTTGTTACACGTTTTAATTACTTCATAATTATTGTATTTACTGTTGATTAGTTATATTGTTGTTCAATCAATAAAATGTTGCCAATTGTTAGCTAACTTCTGTGTTAAATTCAATTTTAAGTAGACAAGTATTTCAAACCCTGCTACTAGTATATGAAATTTGCAATTTGCATGATGGATTCAGATTGGGCTTTGAAACATGCGTAAGCTTAAATATAGGCCAATAGTTGGGCTCATGACCTAGGCCTATTTTTGGGCCAATCCAGTCGGTATAAATTGGGCTTTAAGAGTTTGAACGGTCTTGGAGGCTCAAGCAGTCATGCCCAATTCTCTCACCTAATAACTGGCTAATTACACCAGTCAATGCATGTATCACTAATAATTGGGCTGTATTTAAGTTTTTTTTTTTTCGATTTTGCTGCATTGGCTTAATTTTATGTACTCGGGTATATAATATACGGACTATATATTATACTTATCTAATGACCTTACCTTATTCATATACGTAGTATAATTCAAGCTAGTTTATTGAATAAGTTGAAAATAGCAATTTTATCATTGGTTAGGTGTTTAATTATATTGATGTTCAAAGTTCTTTGTTCAATTAGTTAAATCGTTATGTGTAAATGTTTAATTAGAAGGAGAAAACTTTATGAAGCACTCCGTATAATCATTTTTATAGGTGTGGTTTTAAATACAGTGTGATTTTAGTTTTATAGGATCTTATGAATCTGTCTAGATGAAAATTAAAAGTGGTGGTTAGCTAGCTAGGTTCTTAATTATACGATTATACGATTGAATGATATTGATACGATCCAACATATACTAACGCTTTAAAATGATATACTACTTTGTACTTGTATACGTATATCAATTCGTCATACACATTTTTTTTTCTTGTTGTTGTAACGTATATAGTTTAGTGAAGAAACCAACCCTATCTTCATATTCTTCAATGCACAACACCTTAGCCAATGAGTAGTTGAAGAAGATCGATAAAAAAAGATATGCAATTTATGCGTACACCAACTCGGAATCTGTTTTTGTACTAGCACCCTAGGCACAAGAAGTAATTTCTCAATAATAATCAATAACTTTCATAATTTTTTATAATGGTCCAACCATACATATTAATATGCTTTGAAGTTCAGTACCAATTAATTTACTCAAACAACCTTGCACGGCACTTCATTCATGTTCAAATTTAAGTTGCCTTAAAGTTGTACTAATTTTAGCATAATGGTCTCTTGCATATATTTTAAAATTCTTAATTATTGTCTTATTATTAATTTTGAATTGAAATTTCATATTTTTCTATATTGAGATGTTAAATTAATATAGAATATCTATTTATATACCTAAAATTTTTAGGTTTATGCTTTGCAGTTATTAAGGAAATAGCGTCCATCCAACAAATGAAACGTTAGTAAAAAAAATAATAATAATAACAATATGGAGGAGACCAGCATGATTCTAAATGAAAACACAACTCTTATGCTCTTTGAGTCAAATTTGTGGACCGTGCATTTAAAAGCGACGATAATAGTTAAGGAATCATCAACCTTAAGAACCTTAAGTCAAGATAATTTGACCTCACATCATCAATGTTATGAAGTGAGATTTGAACCAATTACACCAATCTTTAGCAGTATGTACATACGTATGTACTTAACAATTCACAAATGATTCAACAATATAAATTACTTCCTTTGTTATGTATTATAACTTTATAAGAGATGGTTATAAAAGGCAGATAAGAACTTTATCAAATTGTAAGTATGTATAAATTATTATTTTGATTATTTCATCTATTTACATAATATAATTATCTAATCTTTCTCAAATTATATGTCATGAGATTGTGGTGAGAGTAAAGAAACAGAGCAACTATTCTACATGCTGTTGAACTAAAGCATATATGAACACTTGACTTAACGAGCCTAAAAATTTATTCTTTAAAAACACCTTCTTCTTCTTCTTCTTCTTTTTTTTTTTAATATATTCTTTAAAAAACACTTACGGAGTAATAAACAGTAAAATATGACTTCATTGACAACTTGACAAGAAGCTGTCTTTTCTTTAACTATCTAGATTCAGTTTTACTATGCAAATATCTAGATCCAATACATCGGAAGTTTCTTAAGTTGATGATTATAGTCTTACGGACTAGATATTAGACTATTAATTAATCATTAATTAGCAATTTAGCATACCTAGAGACTAGGGGTAAGAAATAAAAAGAAATGCTTTAATGAACTCTATTTGATCCATTTTACGTCTTTGACCATTAATATATTTAGTGAAAATATTTGTGAATTATACATTACTTTGAAAACAACTTGATAAAATCACACATGATATACTCCGTACTTTGTATATATTTTCACACACAGTGTACAAGCTACAAATTACAATTAAAACTTTTAAATTTTGACTACATGAATAGCACGATTGTATTAGAAGGGGAAAAGGGAAATTAAAGGAGTATGATCTATGGGAACATTCATTAACACATTACTTGTAAGGTTTAATGAGCACCATAAAGAGTAATACATTCCATAATCTCAAGTAAATTAGGGTATATGGTAGCAAGAAAACTACCCAAACAAACCCTTTACTAAATTAAAAACTCAGCCAAAAAACAAGCTAAGCTATTAATCAAAGCTAAATTGGGAGTAATTAATTAAAAACACTCAATATTATGATGATGTACAAATATTATATTTCATCTCCCAAATAAACCCCTTAATTAAACCATAAATTTATTGCATAAAGTAACACCCTTATTAGCTTGTTGCTTCTTAAACCCAAAGCACATAATTCCCACATTTCGTTCCTCCTCTTCTTCACCAAAAAACGGAGACTTTTCTCTAGGGTTGCCAAATGAGAAGCTTCTCCTATGAGACTTGTTGTAACACTTTCCTCGAGGCGATGACCGTGGGGACGATGAGCTCGTAGACGAGGTAGACCACGATAAGGGGCTCGAGTAAGAGTTACAGGATGATAATGACAACGATGATGTAGGAGTAATATGAGAGGAGCGACTCCTACTACTACTACGACTAAACGAGGAAATAAAAGCACGAAATATTTTGTTATATTTCGTGCTTTTTTCATTACAAGACGACCCTCGTAACGAGTACGAAGGTGGGGGTGTTAAGGGAGGGACAATATTGTCATTTTTGCTAAAAATAGGATGTTTAGGAGTACCTGGTTGTGATTCCCACATAAAAGGTATAGTTGCACCTGTTGCACCATAATATACCCTAAAAGAAGTTTCACCTGTTGTTTCTAAACTTTGCTTATTTTCTTTGGACGGAAATACCCTTGCCATTGTTTCTAAACTTTGCTTATTTTCTAAACTCTCTCTACTCTCTTTCTCTCT